ACTCACTCGCGCGGCTGACAATTCACGGCGCGCGAGCACTCACACTCTTCTGTCGATGATTGCCGCCGAGCACGCACCCGCTCAAAACTTTATCTTGAGCGCAGTCTGAGTCAAGAGTCGTTGATGGCGAGCGTGCATGCCTGCCTGCCCGCCTGCCAGCATGCGCGATGATGATGCTACCTCGATCAACGACTACACTCACGACCCACACACTGTGACTCAGGCTCACGACTCTGTGACGCCTTCACCTTTATATTCCTGATTGTTGCTATTCAGAGCGTCTTGTGAAGTGCGAGCTCACTGACCAGGAGCAGGCACATCGTCCGACATGCTCGTGGCTAGTTGACCGTAAGTGTGATGTGTGACTGCGACAAGCGAAGCACGCTTTGATGTGGGGCACCGCAATTTTGCCCGCACGCGTTTGCAAGGTCGCATTGCATGGTGAGTTGCGTCTTCCCACGCCCGCGCGGTCCCTTCTCGGCGCCCCGAATCGTTCGGCGGAGAATCTCGTACGAGAAGGCCGAGATTCAAGAGAGGTGCACTCTTGATCCTTGATCCTACGCATTCAAGATGTCACGATGGGGTAGTCACTTCACGATGGGCTCTTTTGTCTATACCTGCTCATCCGTCGACAACGTCGAGACAGCAGTCCAGCTCTTGTGCTCGCAGTGAGGATGCCCTCGGTCTCTTGTCAAAAGTGTCATCAGAATGTGGCCTTGCCCGCATCGACGACGTCCGCCTCTGGAGGCTTGGCAGCCTCGGCCTGGGGCATCATCTCCTCTGCCGACCGACAGCTGCACGCGCTTGCCGCCGGAGACAACGACGACGCCACGAGCAGCTCCCAACCAAATCTCAGCGCACCCTTGACGCACAAGCTGCTACTTCAGTCCGCGCTCAAAGACATACTCACGGCGCCACGGCTCAACCATCCGCTTTGCAAGGAATGCACTGATCTTCTGGTTAGAATCATGAAGGAGGAGACGGAAGAGATCCGGAGCGAACGCGATGCGCTCAATAGATTTGTCAAGGAGATGTCGGAACATCAAGACCGGGAGGAAGGGGACGAGGAAGAAGATGAGATGTATGCGGGGCAGTCGATCGAGGAGGTGAGCTTTGCGCAACCAAGACTGACATGGGCCAGCCTGTTCCGCAAGCTGATCTACCATCTCAATCTCATCTGCCTCAAAAGCTTGAACGCCAGTCAAAGTTGGCCACCGATGAGCTCAGGGCTGCGGATGCGGAAAGGGTTCAGGTGGAAGAGGAAATTGCCGCTTTGGATAGAGAAGAGGCAGAGCTTGAGGCTGAAGAAGAAGCGTCAGTCATTCTTGCGGCGTAGCCCGATGCTACATCACAGCCGGTTTCCGAGCGCACATTACTGTCGTTGAAGGCCGCATGAGCTGACCCTCAGCAACTTCGTCCTCGTCTTGGACCCGCACATTCGACTCTCAGCTTCTGTGCGCAGCATTCTAACCTCCTGTTGGAGCTGTCTGCCGTCTCAGCGCAAAGGGACTCCCTTCGCACATCCATCTCTCTAGATGCAGCTCAGCTGTCACGTCTGCAACAGACGAATCCCTACAATGACGCCTTCTCTATCGGTCACTCGGGTGGCTTTGCTACCATCAACGGACTGAGGTTGGGCAAGCTGCCCAATGCTCACGTGGACTGGAAAGAGATCAATGCTGCCTGGGGTCAGACCGCTCTCCTACTCGATGTGCTCGCCAGAAAGGTCGGCGTGCAGTTCACAGAGTGAGTGGAGAATTTTCGAGGGGCCAAACCCGCGCGACGCGCGACGCCGCTGAATTGCTATCCCGTTTGGGTCTCGAGCTACCATCTGATCCCCAAGGGCAGCTTCAGCACTGTGAAGAAAGCGAGCGGCGATGAAGCTGTTTATGAACTGTGAGTGGTGTCAAGTCTTGGGCTGAAAGCTTGCGCGACCGTCTTGCTGATATGCCACAATCATTCGCCTGTTGGATAGATACGGCACGGGCGATTGGCAAATAGGTCGATTACTGGCGCCACAATCACGAAGGTTCGACCACGCTATGGTAGCCTTCCTAGAGTTACTGCGCCAATTAGCAGCAGCAGCCTGCGCAAGTGACCCCGAGCTCAGGCTGCCCCACGCGTGAGTTCCGTGCACCGCGGGTCTCAACACGCTCACTGTGCTAACCAAAGCATTTGGCAATCGATCAGCATAAGCAAAGACAGGATTGGAGAAGCTTCGATCAGACTTCACTTTGGAAGCGAGGAGACGTGGACTAGAGCTCTTCGACATGTCCTTCTGACGTGGGTCACTCGGACTGTCCTGCGTAGACGCGAGTAATCACGCTGACCTGCGCTCTGCTTTTGGTCCATCCAGGCTCAAAGTCTTGCTCTCATGGGCCTGCCGAAGGACGGACGATTAGATAAATCAAGCAGCCTGCACAATCATTGCATCTCGGGTTGCACCCTCGCCAAGCGAGTTGTTCTGCCGTGCGCTGCTGGCATCCGATGCCACTTGGGTCTGTCACACTCGCGAAAGTGATGATGACCCAAGGCAGGACGCCCCAACACCGATCGCGGCAATTGGTTCAAAGCACCAGCACAAGAAGCAGTCCTGAACAAACTGCTGTGACTTGCTGGTCAAGCGCTTATGAGACGCATCAGATAGCGTCGGGCGACTGGTGCTGGCAGAGACTACAGCTACGCGGAGAGCCCCCATCAGGCCAGCTTACAAGGGCATGTGGCGTGCTATCCAGGCCCGCTTTGGTGCTCCACTTTGGGCTGCTTCGCTGGGGCTCGTCGCACAAGTCGAGTCGCTCTGCGCCGTGTGGGCAGATGGACTAGCACCGGGTTCTTTCTTGGGCAGGGCTGACCCTCTTCAAAGCGCAACGAAGACAGTTGCCGCTCGAGGTGAGGGGCAGGGTCGCGCGCCGATCTAGGTGCTTGAAGGCCTCTCCTCCCCTTTACTCCCGGTTGCGTGTTCTTGTACATCCCCATGCCCGCTGTGCAAACCAAAACACGCTGTTCGAAGAATGTCACAGCTCGCGCAGAACACGAGAGACCTAAAATGATGACATTCCCATCCACGCCGCATGTATGACGCGAACAATCAAGTGAACTGGCGCAAAGAGAGTCAACACATGTCAGATGATGCAGTCTTGGTGGTCTAGTGTACGCGTCCGTTGGAGCTCGCGCGCAATACTCGTGACTCACCACTCCAAGATAGCTGAGCGAGGTCAGGACGTACAAGAGGCGAGGATTGCAGTCAGAACACAAGACCTCGCGCTTCGCACAGGTGCTACTCACCTCTCGGCCACGATACGAGCCCTGGCGTTGATGGAAAGCTTGAGCTCCGAGATTTCCTTTGGTACGGGAAGCGAAGCAGTGATATGTCAGCGATCCAGCTCGAGACATCTGCACAAAGGTGACGTATCAAAAGCGAGCACAGCCTGCAGCGCAGTCATGCCTGCCCCGAGCATCCTGAGGCGCGACAATTGTTTCCAAGCTCCGTAAGCGCTCACCTTGTCAACATCCTCCATGAACTGTATGACAAAGTCTACCAGCTTGTGCTTCTGCAAAGCTTCGGTGTGGAAGTTTGTGATGAGAAAGCTGATGTCGTAGCCCTGCGTCGATATTGACGGGAACAAGTCGAGTCGAGTGAGCAGTCCGAGCGCGTGAAAGCGTGCGAGGCAGCTCTGTGGAGGACCAGAGCCCTGCTACTCACGGGAATGGGTTTCCTTCTGAGAATAACGAAGCTCTCCGCTCTCTGCATCAAGAATCTAGCCAGCTTGTGGCAGATCACCCTCTCGATTTCATCAGCCTGTTTGATCTTGATGCTCAATCTGATCGAGTTGACGCTAGGTTCGATGAGGACCTTTTCGCTCTCATTCCTAGCTATTGTCAGAGGAGTCAGAAGCACTTCCTTTGATGATCTTGCTTCGACTTCAGGCTTGTTGTGTCGCTCTACCACTTGAGATCCGAAGTTTTCCAGCGTCATCGCTGCGGTCAAGGTTGAGCGGACGCAGGAAAGGTATGGCCTCAGAGTGTTCGACTTGTAAGCGCGAGGAGAGAGACCAGATGCAAGTCCGTAAGCTCGTGAATGCGCAGCGCGACTTTGAGAGTCTGAGGATCACTCACCATGCTGATTACAGGTCTGTGTGTAACGGGTAGTCTGCCACGCTTCGTAGGGGTGTAAGAATTGCAACAAGAGCAGGTCCAACGCAGCGGCAGCTGTTGCTCGCTCCGGCTTGTGTATTCTCACGAGGAGCCGAGAGTGGCAGTGGATGCGAGCAACGTGATGAGGAATCGACACCAAGCCGTGTATGTGAATGTGGATATGAATGGTGAAAACGTGACTGTGGTTGGTGAAGGCGAAGCGAGGTGAAGCGTCGATGGCTGTACACGTCCGTGCGACGCAAACAGCGGAGGCACGCCAGCAACGCGGTCACGTGAGCCATAAAAGCAAAACCAGGCGCCAAGTCAGAAGAAGCGTCAAACCGTTGAAATCAGGATATGAATTGACAGCCCAAGAATCGTACGTTCGTGACTGAGGCAAACACTCGAGAATCGAAGAATGTGGTCAGCTGACCGAGTGTGGACAGGACGCTTCCTTCGATCTGCTAGGTCGACGCCAGAGGAGAGGGCGAGGCCGATTGCCCAGACTTTCACAGTACATCCAGCATCTGTACAGGCAAGAAAAGGGAAATGGCGGCCAGGTTCAAAGTATGACATTCCTTCGTGCAGCGAAGTCTGCGATTCATCAGTGTCCTTCAGCAGCGCCATGGTCGGCTGTCTCTCTCTCCCCGACATCTACGCCACGATCTCGAGCTGCCAGTCTGTGATAATAAGAAGGGCCGGGTCCTTGATGACAAGCTCGCTTGCTTTGCCTGGCGTTACGCCTGGCAATTTAGGTGCCGAAGCAGTAGCGGCAGTTCCAGCGTTCCAAACGAATGGGACCTCGCTGCCGTTCTGCTTCAAAATCTTGCTCGGTTTCTTTTCCAGGCCAATCACAATGATCTTTTCCACCCTCACATCCTCAATGGACTTGGCGAAGGCGTTTTCGCTAGGCGAGTAATTTGCTGGGATTTGCAAAGTGTCGGTCGAAGAGGCGGTGGAGGCTCTCAGAGCGGCTTCATCCACGCTCCTCAGAACCAATCCAGCTCGTTCCGTGTTCTTCATGGCGCTGAATCGGCGCCAGACGAAAGACCCTTGCTCATGGTCGTAAGTCTGTCCATCGTCCAAGTACAGGTTGCCGGTTGCCCGAAGTTTGTCTTTGGACGCTTTGCCGTTGTTGAGCGCAACGACGAGCGTGAATGGATCTCTCCAGCCCAGCTCAGCTGAGCGTCTGACTCGTTCCCGAAGAGGCAAGATCGATCCGCCTCGTTGAAGAAGGGGCAGTTGCTCGTTGAGGGGTGCGGGTACGCTGGCCGTCTTACCGCTCGCCGAGCCGTGATAAATATCGCGCGTAAAGTAGTTGTAGTACACCTGCAGTCAATATTGCGAAAAAAAATTGTCAGCCATTGCAGCTGTGCACCGACGCATCGATGCCAACTCGCCTCGTCTTCGCCGAGATAGACGTCCACACTGGTCGCATCCTTGGTGACGGCCGGCTTGACGAGGAGGCCGCTGTCCGCAAGATAGTACTGGTCTCCAATACCCGCACCATTGACATCTTGAGGGAACATCAAGAATTGCGGTCTCAAAAGGGGAAGTCCGGTAGCTTTGTTCTCCTTGAAAGCAGTGTACCAAATGGGCAGCATCTTGTACCTCAGCTTGATCAGCTCCCTGACGTGCGACCTCTCAGGCTCCGCCAGCAAGAAAGGCTCCCTGCGCTTCGTATCAATGTGCGCGTGCGCTCGGAAGAAGGGCTCAAAGATGCCAGCTTGGTACCATCGCACCAACATGTCCGCTTCCGGATTCCCAAAGAAGCCTCCTATATCGGCTGCAAAGGTACTCCACAAGTTAGATGAGGTTGTTTTGTGTGTGTGCTCTTCACCACGTAAAATGCTCACCTCCAGTGAAGCTCATGCCGCCCACATTGTTCGCGAGGATCATAGGCACGCTAACGGCTAGATGCTCCCAAGTACCGAGATTGTCTCCAGTCCAGGTGGCGCCATACTTTTGAGTGCCCACCCACCAGCTCCTTGCCAACACAAAAGGTCTTCGAGGTGGATCCTCCCTCTCGACCAAAGCCTTGGCCGTAATGTTCTGGAAGAGCACTCCGTTGATGTTGTGCAGATGCCTGTGCTCCCAGCCTCCGTGGTGGATCACATCCTTGGGTGATGTGATTTCAGGTCCATTGAAGATTGCCGGCTCTTGCATGTCGTTCCAAATGTGTACGTTTCGAGCATTCGCCCTCAGCTTCTTTAGCTTCAAGCGAAAAAGACCGCTCCACCAGTCCCAGGACTTGGGGTTAAAGGCATCGATCCACGAAGCTGAACCAGACCAGCACCAACCCTCATACTCTCCTTTGCCGTCGGGCGTCTTGACCAGGATGTCGAGTGCCTTTGACTCCTTGTAGACGTAGTAGTCATTCGTGCGCTTGAAATGCGGATCCACGATGATCACGAGCTGGCGCAATAACGGGTCACAATGTGGTGAGATGGTAAAACCTCGTGCGTGGGGAAATCTTGCACCTGCACTCACCTTTCGCCCTTCTGCATCGAGACCCGAGATCATTCGCTCTGGGTCTGGGAAGTTGAGGTCGTCCCAGATCATGTACATGTGGTCTTTGCTGTACTCAATGTCAAGCCACATGACATCCATGGGAATCTGCAAGGGTTTCCGCTAGCGTGCGTGAGCCAGTTTGGATCATGCACAGCCACCTATCAACTCACATCTTGATCGCTGAACTCTTTCGAAACGTCAAGAACGTCTTGAGTAGTGAGATAATTCCATCTGCTCTGGTGATATCCCATAGCAAAGTACTGCGGCAATGCGGTCCGTCCTACCAACTTTGAGAAAGCCTTGATATTGTCTGCCGGGTCTTGATGAAGATAGACGAAAAGGTCGAGCACTCCAGACTCGGAGAAGAAGTGCGTGTCCAGCGTTTGTTCCGTGCCGGCTTTTCCGCTGCGAGAAATGTCGATCCACGTCTCTGCGCCGTTGAGCCAGAAGACCGATGCGGCACCTTGCTGCTCATTTCCCTGAGCGTGAAGCACTGGCACGCTTCCGTACAGACTCATGGGCGAGTCGTAATCATACTCGAATACATCGGTGTTCATGAGCCGGTACGGATCGGTAAAGTCTTCGTCCGCCTCTCCTCTCGTGCTTTTGAGGTTCAAAGGGCTGGCATGCTCTGGCAAGCCGAACGCAAAGGGCTTCTTGGGAAAGGCAATGTCCAAGGAGAGAGCTTCGGGACCTCTTGGCTTCGAGTCTGGCTTGCCCTGCCAAGATTCTTCCCACTCTCCCGAGTCCTCTTGTTCCAAGCCGCTCCAAACATCCGCGTTCGCCTGCGAATGTCCAGCCTGGATCAGATCGCGTTTCCGCTGCAGAATAAGCTGTCTATCGGGCTGAATTTCTGCTGCCTGCTCTTCCTCGCTACTTTCCGCTCCTTCTTTGGCAGCTTCCACCTTGGGAGTTGGAAAAGGATCGGGTTTGGCCCTAAAGTGCTCCATGTGCAAAAGACCGCGCCCGTTCAGCACCACCTGCTCCACTCCGTGCCTAAAGAAGCTCAGCTTGAGAGGCACGTGAGTCAGATCGATCAGGTACTCTGACGCCGGGCCATACTTGATTCGTGTGTGCATGTCCGTCTGCTCAAACGAAACGCTGTCTGCTGCAGCAGGTCTTGGCTTGTTCTCGATAGCATACTGGTGTGCTTGGTCGTATCTCCTGAAATCATTGTACGTCTGTCCCACCTCGTCGAGCCTCACTCTCGTGCTTCCATCTTCGAGCATGTCGAGCTGCAGGTCGAAGCTGATGTTGGTGTGCAGCGCATTGAAGACCCTCGCAGTGACTCTGCTGTCTTCGGGATGGTAAAGCGGCTGCGAAGAAAGGGCATAAGGGCTGGCGTGTTCGGGCAATGAAGAGAGGCGCCGGATGCGCCGGCAAAAGGAGGAGTCGGCGCACTTTTTGAAGTCGTGCTCCCTGACTGCTGAGCTCGGCGATGCCAGAAGCAGGAAGACGATTAGCGCAGATAGAAGCTGGAGCACGACCATGCAGCGTCGCAGAGGGCCAACGCGGCCGCCAGCGAAGCTCATCTTGTCCGACATTCTCGCGCGCGCAAACAAGTTGTCGATCGAGCAGGGTGCGCCAAGCGAGGTGGTAATAATGACGGTGCAATGAGCCATGCAGCTCACACACCATATGTTGGCGGGAAGCTCCATACACAAAGCATGATGTGCGAGCGGGGCCCGTGCAACCCTTCACACGCACATACTTGGCGAAGCTCTGGCGCGGGGCTCGAGGATCGATGCAGCAGCGAGTCACGTGACTGGTTTGGATGGCACATGAGAGCGGTCCTCAGCGAAGCAGATGGAAGCTTGGGTGAGATCAGATCCAAGTGCTACCGAAAGATTCTTGATCATGACAGTTTGCAGACCGATCATCGTGAAAGAATGTCTTTGCAGGTGCCATTGAGGGTGGCTGCAAGGAGGATGAGGATGGTGCGGTACGTAGGAATGTGCATAGCAACCGCGCGAATCGTCCTCCACCGCGCGTATCAGCTAGCATACGCATCGGGCGCAGTGCAAGGTGAAGCCGTCGACGCTTGCGCAATTCTACTACTATCTACTCGCGCGTGACACTATCGAACACCTAGCGCGCGTGTTCATACATCGAACGAACGCGCTGGCTTATTGCGGCGGGTTGCGCGTCGCGACGTGGTGTAGGATCGAGTCGGCGAGCAATGCTGTGAGGTGGGTGGATCATGCACGGGACACGGTAGCATTGGCAGCATTTTGAATTGCATCGCGCGTGAGAGAGTCGTGAATCTGAAGAGTCACGAGTGCAAGTGTGAGTGTGAGTCTGCCAGTGGAGATCGAGTGGCAGGACCAGCAGTGGGGAGTCGTGAGTGGAGTACTCGCGGCGCGAGTGCACGGTGGATGTCGGATGATGCTGGTGATGATGATGATGATGATGATGCGGTGGAGTGATGAGGCACGAGTCGTGAGTGGGATTGCAAGCATGATCAACCACCACATCCATGCGGCTCATCGTTTGAGTAGGCAAAATTGTGTTCCCGCTTCCCTCCTGCATTTCCTGGACGCCGCATCTAGACTTGCTTCCAGGCCTCCCTGACCACGGTCGCCCATTGGAGTTGGATCCAGACGCAAGACATACGTCGCTGCAACTGCAATTGCTCTCCATCTCGGTGCATTCCCAGCGGAATCGCAGCCGAGGCAGGCGCTTCAAGCCATGCTGAATGTCAGTCCGCGACCTGCAACTCTATCCGAACTTGTTCCATCCAGAACAAGCTCGCGCTCCCCTTCGCCTTCAAGAGTCTCCCCTGGAGGTGCTGGTCCCTCGAGGCTGGATGTCGCCTTTCCCCCACGCTCATCCTCAAGGGCTGCTCAAGGCACCATGCCGACGAGCCAAAGCAGCTTACCGCGCAGCCCATCAGCGCTAGCTCAATCCATATCGGCACTTCATTTGGACGAGCAGATGGATGCAGAGGAAGTCGCGGCAGGCATCGGGACGCACGAATCGGGCAGCCCACAGATTCCCTCCCCGGTCGAGACGGAAAGATTGCTGCAGGCAACTTCCGATAGAGTGGCAGACATCAGTCGGGCCATCTTCCGTATTGAAGAGGTTCGACATGCCAAAGCGCTATCCAGCACGGATGCAGGTGGTGGTAGCTCATCAGCTGGTAACAGTGGCACAAGCAATGTAGACGAGGCATTCATGGAGCTCAATTCGCTCCTGGAGGAGGTGAGCGGGTCGATGCGGATAATCGAGAAGGCCGTCTCTGCTTTGGCCGGTCTCGATGACGCACCGGGACAGGATTCATTGTCAGGCGTACTTGCGGGCGCGAGGCGCAGGCGAGGAAGTGCTGGAAGTCTGGACAGCTTTACCTCCTTTGATGAAGCCGCAGCAGACATCTCAGACGCGACACCAAGCTCTGAAAGTATTGTCAGACACTTTCAACAGCTGACAGAGCACTGGGCTTCTGCTCAAGTCGAAGCGGAACGCGTCAAACAAGAGCTGAGCGAAGATCGGTACCTCACGGTATTCCGAGGCCTCAGCTCCCAGGCGACTGGAATGATGGACTCGCTCGACAAGGCCATTGTGATCTGCGCAGACTTCATCTCCAGCGTGCAACAAAAGCTCGCCTCATCTCCAGCGCACCCAAACTCGCGCGAAGAAGAGCTAGACGAAGAAGAGGAGACACGCAAGAAACTAGAAGACTTGAAAAGTCGGCGGAGCGCGTTCGAAGTAAAGCGGCAGCACTACGGACCTGCGTGCGAGCGGGTGTTCGGGGTCCTCGAGCGAGGCCTCAAGGAGAGAGCTACAGCGCATGGCAGCATGCTCAGGCGGTACAGAGAGCTCAAGCAAAGATGGAAATCTCAACGAGACGCAATGTCTCGCATCGACAAGGAGCTGCGCAGAGCGGAGGTCGCCCTCTCTCCTCGGTCGAGGGAACGAATCCCGTCTGATGCAGCGCATAGCGCCTCCAGTCCTGCTTCGAGCGCTGCAGAACTCAGCGTTGGCAGTCCTGCATCAAGCTTGCGACCTCGTCCGGGTCCCAAGAGCAGCTCCAGAGAGCTTCGACCGACAGCGCATCGAACCCCTAGCTCTAGCAGCCTGGCTTCGGCCGCTACGTCACCACCTCCTAAACCTCCCAAGAGTTCGCGCAGGCAAAGCATGATCGATGCGCCGCCTCAAACTTCGAGTCCTTCCGCATCAAGGTCGCGGCCTATCAGTTCAGTCTACGCTCAAGGTGTTTACAAGCCTGGTGCTGTCTCGCACGCTTCGCCAAACGCGCCTTCACCTCGGGCTCATGGTCGAAGTGCTTCTACCAATCCGGTGCCGAGTCACACTGCCGGCGAGCGCGGGTACACGAGACCAGGACACGCGCCTTCCTTCTCCACGTCGACCCACTCTTCCGCCATTGATCCTGTCGAGCGCTTCGGCATTCCCCAATCTGGCCGCACCACCCCAGGAGGCACATTCTTGAGTCCAATGAGGCGCACACGCCCACTTGATGTGGCTGGACCTCCCACGTCTTATCGAACACCGAGCGGACTCAGCGCAGCCCTGAACAACAATACCCGATCCAAGACTCCGCAGCCGACCCCAACGTGGTCGCGAGGATCCTCAGAGCCTCCTCCTGATAGACCTCCTTCGCGTAACTATGGCAATCGGAGGAATTCTAGCATCTTCCATGGCCCGTCGCCGCTAGATAGGATGAAAGCTGAGCAAGATCTTGGCGACACGTCTGTGGACTCGATAGGGTCGAACGACAGCGGCAGACCCGGAAGCGCTGCTGGCATCTACTATCGGCCACCTTCGTCTGCCAGCACCGCTACAGGCGAGCGCGGAAGTAAGCGTCACAGCATGATTCCACGCCTCTCTTTTCCCGCGTCGAATGACCATAATGGTGACAGTCCTCACAGCAGGCCGGGTTCTGCTCTGTCACACGCATCAACAGCCGCGTATGCGGCTGCAGGCGCTTCGCCAGCACGTACCTACCAGGGCGGAAATCGTTCGACGATGCAGACACCTGAGCCAGTCCTGGCAGCGCGAGTTCAGCGCCTCAGCATGTTTGCAAGACCATCCAAGGGCACGCCTGCTACTTCCGCAATGGGCGGCGTGTACGATGCCACAGGATCACCGGCTGCGAGGCGATCCAGTCGGCCTCCGCCAGCTCGATATAATGCGCACGTAACCTCTCCGCTGAATATCAACAAGTCCGGAAGGACGACGCCTCTGAGCGCTGCTGCTTTGGCAAAGCTACCGGATGCGGGTCCGCCGGGACCTCGCTCCATTTCTGGATCGTCCGTCGCGAACTACAGGGCAGCTCGTGCAGGCGGAACAGCCGGCCTGGGTAGTTCCGCCAACCAGTCGCTCTCTGGCAGAGCTACGCCAACCTTTTCAGAAGGTGCCAGCAGCGTTGGGGCCTTCAGTGCACTAGGAGGCGCTCGGGCACAGCTCGAGCATTATCGACCAAATCAAAACGATGCATTGGACGTCGAGGTGGCTCACATTGCAAATAGCCTGGGCGTGTATCTCGAACGCGTCACGGATCCATTACCGAGGGGTGTCAGATCGGAACCGAGACCTGGACAGGAAATTCAAGCCCAGTATTCGATTGGTGGGGGCAAAGCGGTCATGTGCAAGCTGCTTGAACTCGTGAGTCCGCAGCAGTGCGTGGCGTTGATTGTGGAGCACGCTCGTTTGCTGATGATCACTGCTCTTGCGCAATGATGTAGCATCGTCCCCAGAGCTCGGCCGGAGCTCGAAGCGGCACAAAGGTCAGGAAAATTCTTGCGCGCGTAGGAGGCGGATGGATGGACCTGGAGCAGCACATCTTGAACAAGATCGACGAAGGTATGGCCTAAGCTCTTGCGCATCCCAATCATCGACGCCGGACGTCGTTTGCGTCTGGAGCACTGCGCACGGCGTCTCACTCTATGTATGAAGCTGTTTTTGGTGATACATGCCCATGCATCGTTCTCATCATGTGACCCATCAGGCTGCGAACGTTGTGCAATGATGGTGAAATGGCTTTCTGGGTGAGCCAGGTGGCCCTTCATCCCGAACAGGGGGCCATTTCCGTGGCATCGTGAACATGCTATGCAGGCTGCACGCAATCGCGCAGCAGCTGCAGGGATCGACGATGTGCCGCTCGATCTAGCGCCTTTGCCACGGCGTCCTGCTGCTGCTTTTGCGTTGCTGCTGCATGCTGCTCTTGCTGCATAGTCGCAATAGCTCGTGCGAGGGTCTTGTCGCACCTGCGGCTCGTGCTCGCTGCGACGTGACTGTAGGGCTCAACGGCCGGCATGAATTGTGTGAATGGGTGCTCCCAGATGTCCGGTGTGCACACGTGCGCGCAACGTCTCGGATAGCCTCCTAGAATTCAAGACTTGTAACTCGTGACTAGGAGCTCAGGCCTTTTCAGACCCGTGACCATCAACATCTCCAGGCGCCTGCTGGACCTCGTCCATCTTCTGGCCCCTCCTATTCATCGCTATCCGCTTCCACTTGGTTTCATGATGATCCTACCCAACCTTTGACTCTCTGCTTGCTCGACGTTGGTCGCTTTGCGCCATCGAAGTTCTAAAGGACTGCATACACGATGCCAGTCACGGACGAGGGCATGCAACATCAAAAGAGCACAAGTCCCTCGGGCGAGCCGAGCTCGGCGCTTACATCAAGCTCGTCGCCAAAGACGGGAATGCGAAGACTGTTCAATAGGCGATCCATCAGCAACTCAAAGAGACCAGCTAGGACATCTGCCGCTGAGCCACAGCCAACGACCAGCGCTTCGACCCCGGCTTCATCTCGCTCAGCAAATGTACCGTCAGCATGCGTGTATGAGAATGGTGCAGGCGGTGCTCTGACAACATCGGCCACTGCGCTGCCCGAGGGTGGCCCTGCTCAAGCTGAGATCTCGCCGGCGGCCCGGTTCGCGTCATCCGCCGACCCGTTGCCGTCGAAATCAATCGAATCGGCTCAGGGAAGACGTGGTGGAGATCTCGCCGAGGATGCTGTGCGAGATGTTAGCTCCCCTCCACCATCCATCCTGGCAAGTGCGAACGCGTCGACATCAGGGCTGGCCTCACGTCGTCCGTCTGCGGCAGGTTTGCAACTTCAAACTTTCAACCTACCAGACCCAGGCATCACCTTCTCGCCAGCTCCCGACAGCCGAGACTCTCCGACTCCTATGGCTGGCTCGCCAAAGGCACGGAACAGGCAAGCTGCAATGCTTCACGCGGTGAACAGCGCCGAGTCATCGAGCTCTAGAGCAGAAGAGGCCACAAGCGCAACATCTGGCATCTCCTCCGGCCGGACCCCGCGTAGGCTGATTCATAGGATCGCCGCAAGCACGGACAACGGCGGCTCCTCCTCACACGAGGCGAACACCGGGACCAATGGCGTCAATCCGCGTTCTCCTCATCCGTTCAGAGCGCTCGCTGGAAGCAGGTCTCGACATCACGTTGGGATCGGAAGACCCGTACGCAGCGGTACATTCATCCCTGCGCCTGGCCAGGTCATTGAGGAGCGAAGAGTGTCTCTACCGGGAGCAGAGCCCGTCGTTCCCTCTTTCCACCCAGCTGCGCCCATTGCTCTCCGAGCTCCAAACGAATCACAGCCGCTCACTTCTCCGCTCGCCGATCCAGTCGATATCGAAGCTGGTAGTGAAGAGGTAGCCCCAAATGGTGCCCGAGCCCACACGCTGAGGTTACAGCGCCCGCAAATCAAAATTCGTTGCATCACTTGGAACCACGGCAACAGTGTGCCAAAGGGCGATCTGGAGGTGCTCCTCGGTCGTGTGGGAGAGTACGTGCCTCCCGAGCCCGGCTGGGATGAGAGCGGAGACGAGGATGAGACGGAAAATGCGCCATCAGAAGCCGGCGCCAAGGATGAGCAAGTGGCGGAGAAAAAGGCACCCAAATCGAAGGGCAAGGGTGTAGCTGGACAAGAGTCGATTCCCAGAAAGGATCGCATCCCACCCCTCGTGGCAGACGATGCGCATCCGTACCATGTCATCGTGATAGCAGGTCAAGAGTGTCCTTGGGGCGATGGCAAGCGCTTAGCAGCCGGCGTGGCATTGGCTGGCGAGCTGAGCGACTTGGCCCGAAGCAAGAATAGAGCTATACCCAAAGAGAAAGATAGGGAGAAGGAGGAGAAGGAGAGGGAGAAGAAGGAGCGCAGGGAGGAAAAGGAGAGAGAAAAGCGCGAGGAGAAAGAAAGATTGAAGCGAGAGAAGGACGCTGCAAAAGCCAACGGCAAGGAGCTCGCTTTGCAAGAGGACAAGCAAGCCGGGTCCCACTCAGGCAAGATCGTGGATGGAGAAGATACTGGTCCAACCACTCGAGACGGTGGCGTGCCGCACTCGGCATCTCTTAGCGAGATGCGGGTCCAAGACTTTGGAGCGATGGCCCCCTCGATCCCACCTTCTCCGATGCCTGCTACATCGGCAGTCGATGGGTACTTTGAAAGTCCGGCCTTCAGTCCGCCGCAGAGCGGAGTTCCTATGACTCCCTTAGCGGCCGGTTCCTTTCCATTTTTGGGGCTTGGTGGTGGTGGTGGAGTCAAAGGTTGGTCAGAAATGTGTGAAGCTTGGCTTTGCCATGGTCCTGTTGCTCAATTAAGCGCAATAAAGGGCACGCCGGCTTCTCTGGCGCAGCTGGCAAATAGCTCGAGCACTGCTACTCCTAATCCTATGTCGGAGACGAGTACGGAAATAGAGCCTTCTGTGGCGGCATCGCGTACAAACACGCCTATCCCGATATCCGGCAGCAAACACGATGTGCCTAAGCTGAAGCTGCGAACAGATGCTCTGAGCGTTGGTGGTGGCAAATCTGCGCCTGAAGACGGGAAGCATAAACAGGCTCTGAGCCCAAGCACGCCGCTGGACGGCCCAGCCCTAGGAGCTGCAGGCGGTTCCCCAGCCAAGAAATCTGCTCTCGCTGCAGCAGCTGGCCTCGCGACGTCACACGCGCTGGCGGTCCCGCACAGCATTTCTCGCAACAACAGCTCCAGCCGGCTGGCGCCTACCTCGTTTGGGAGTGTTGCAGATCTTCCGTCGCCTGGCTTGCTCTCGCCAAGCGAATTTGGTCTCATCAGAGAGCCGTCGCCGCCAGAGCAAAAGACAAAGATCGAAGAGCAGGAACCTCCCACCTTACAGACGCAGGAGCAAAGCTCTTCGCACCACCGACACCTCATATCACGCTTCGGTCAGCATCATGACGGAACGCCGCGCACGCTAGGCCCCTATGAGCTTGTGATGAAAGAGCGATGCTACATGATGTACATGGCGGTGTACGTCTTCCGCGGTGCTTTAGACCGCGTGCGTGGAGTGTCGCGAGGCCATGTTAAATCTGGACTGCTGGCGGGGCGCGTTGGCAACAAGGGCGGAGTTGGTATCAGTCTTAAGCTCGGCTTGACTCGTCTCTTGTTCGTCAATGCGCATCTTGCAGCTCACGAGGGCAAAGTCGCAGAGCGCATTGCAAATGTGGAGAAGATTAAAAGGGAGTTGAAGGTGGACACGTTTCTACCAGAGACAGAATCCCAGGATGAGGATATCACAGCTAGATTCGATCACTGCTTCTGGATGGGTGATCTCAATTGTGAGTAAGGGCGATCAACCTCGAGAAGGCAGCTGACATTGATTTGTATTTATGTCCAAACAGTCCGTGTTGATATTACGAGAAAGCACGCAGACTGGCTGCTGATGCAAAAGCGCTACGACCAGGCGCTAGAATTTGATTAGCTTCGCAAGGTAATGCGTGAGACTTCTACTTTTCACGGGTTCACCGAGGCAGCGATATCCTTCATGCCTACCTTCAAGTACGACGTGCTCAAGACCCTAAAGTCAAAAAATGAGAAGGACCTCAAGCGCCATGTCAGCGTGCGCAAGCGACTGCTGCATCGACACGAAGGATCTTTGCCCGATCTCGGAATCTCGCCGGCTGGCGCAGGCATTGCTGCAGCTACCAGCGAGGGAAAGGGGGGACCGGAAGAGACTTTAGGAAGCAGGAATGGTGACTTGAGTAGCTCGCCTCATCATTCGCAGCGCAGTGGTGCAAGTCGCCGAAGGCAGAACCTGAGCGATAGGATTGCAGCTGCACTCGGCCAAAGCACTGATACTGAGGATGACTCGAGCTCAATCGCAACGACCCTCGAGACAGCTTCCATCTTGGGACTTCAGACGACTCGCTCTGCGAGCGGAAGCATCGCTGATAGAGAAGCGCTCGCCAACAATACAGCCGCGGCGGCGGAGACTCCTTTGATCTCGCGCGGCAAGGCAATCAGAGTCAAAGGGCAGCTGATGAAGGTCGTGCAGGCTGTCAAAGGCCACCGGTCACAAGCCGGGTCACCGCCTGCGCACAACATCTCTCCTCTGAACAGCCCACTTGTGCCATCAAGGCAAGGCCAAGGATTGTCGGAATCCTCACACAATGCTGCTTGGCCCGCTCAAAAAGCAGGGGCGTCCGAAAAAGCCCTTGGAGCGCATTCCTCGGATCGCGCCCTTTCCGACAAGCCAGTTGGCTCGTCGCCACAAGATCCCAGTGCACCTCACAGCCTTCGTACATCATCCTCTTTGGAAGACTGGGCTATGAACGGATCGGTTTCAGCCCGAGGGAGCCCGTCGCCAGCGTCAAAAGGTCGACGCGTGTCAGTGCAATTGCCCAACGAATTTGGAGTCGGTCATCGACGACGCTCTAGCGCAGACGATGCTGGCGAGATGGTCTCGAGCCTGGATGGTGCCACGCTCTCGGCAATGGCGGCGAGCGGTAACATAGCTGACGTCGATGTGCAACGATACGACACCTCGACGAAGCAGCGAGTACCATCCTGGTGCGATCGTGTGTTGTGGCGAAGCAACGTGAAGATCGAGGCCGAGGAGGGGCACGCGGAGGATGGCGCAGGTGACACAAGAGCGTCCCGCGTGACTACAGCACTGTCAAAGGCCGGAGCACAACTGCGTTCAGCTACTTTCCGACGCAATACCGATCGCGCAGATGGCCCAAGCGTGACGTTCGCACCGCCTCCAAAGGTGCCCGTGAGAGGAACTTCCATAGCCGGTCCAAAGCTACTTCAAGACTCACCAACCGCAACGCAAGCGCCCGCACCTAACGGTTCTAGCGAGAAGCTGGCCAGAACCCATGGTGGAGCGGCGCACGACCAGGCTGTTCGCCGTCGATGGTTTGGCCGGCGCCACAAGCTGAAACGCTCTCAGACGCTAGATGCAGAGACCTCGGATCGTGCGGGTCTGAGCACATTGAAGGAGATGAGCGCCAGCAATGGCCGCGCAAACAGCGCTGTAAATCTTCCTTCACATTTGCGCCGCCAAAATAGCACAGCTTCCTCTAGTCGCCCCCCAGGATCCCCGCAAAGCACCAGACTTTTTCCACGGCGAAGCTCCAGCACTCGGACAGCACCGTCATCAGCGGCGATGCCTGCTGCGCAAGGCTCATCAACGCCTGATGGCGCAGAAGGCAAAGGAACACCACCAATTTCCTCAGCTCGAAGTTCGCCGTTCAATTTCGTTAGCTCTCGCATGTCAGCGGCACGCCCTTCGAGCCCATCGCCCCGTGGATCCCCTGGATTCCGACGAGAACCGCTGGAACAGGCTTCCCCAGGCAGCAATGCTCCTACCTCTGTTGACACAGAGCTGGCGCGAGGCCTGGCCGCGCCGCCTGTGCCGACCAAGGCTGCGCTCACTGCCTCGCCTGCCGAACCGCCTCGCCGCACATCGTGGTGGGCAGAGCGCATCGGTGTGCACCTTCCCTCGCTACGCAGTGCCACTGGCGCACTTTTGCCCTTCTCGCTTTCGGCTGCGCTCGCACGCAGCCAAGAACCTGCCGAGCCTACTCAAGTCCTCGTCGGACCCAAGAAGGGCGAAGTGCAGTGCTTGCTCTACAAATCACTAGATGACCGGTAAGTTGGCATCATCGAGAATTTGCTGGCATATGCTTTCGATCGTCAATGCTAATGAACTCCTTACTAACCTTTCTTACTTTTTTTCCAGCGAAATGCGTCAGCTTGAAGGCCGCTCCGATCACCGACCCGTAAGTCGCCCGGCAGATCCAGCTCTATTTCGAGGGTGATCCTGACGAGCTTCATACAAAACTCTAGGTCATCTTCGTTGCCGCTGTCGGCGTGTGAAAGCCTCATCCTTGGCACTTGCGGCTGCTCTACATTCCTTCCCGGCACAGATATCCAACTTCAGTAGGTGTCCACGCCAAGTCATCGACGTTTTTCGCCTTCTGCTTCATGCTCCGCTTGCTTGCCTGTAAAGTCTAAATCTTCGAGCCACTCTTCTGAGCCGTTTTGCCACTACTCATGGGCGCGGCGAAGCCACGTATACCCTCTGCGCAACGTTCCTGTGCACAAATAGATGGAGACCTCTTCTTGCACACTTACTCCAGCTTTTCCTGATTTTCGTCAGACATTGGTGACTGACTGTGATAGCCTGGTCTGAGTTGTGTCGACGCAGCCGCCCTGATGCTACTTTGTGCGTGACGCAGACCGATGAGTCTTCTGCTTTACTTCAATCAAGACTCAGCTCTCCGTACCTCGATCATCAGCAATCATGAATCACGAATGATGCCGAATGATGCGGCCACCTACGTCTTGCGAGTCACCTCCACGTCGGAACGGAGCTTGGTGCGCGCGGCATTTCTCTGCTGTAAGCGTCCGCGTCCGTGCATAAGACGCCATGAGGCACGCGCCCTCGAATCGCGAGTCGAGGTGAATCGTCGTCTGTGTGCAGCTAGCTTCTTCCTTCCACAACCACAAGCAACCCTTGGAACGCACATCGCGCAAAGAAGCGCAAGGCGGTGACATAAGGCTATGCAGTGATCATCGTCGACATCAAAAGACCATCGCGCGAAGCCCGAGCAGCCCGAGCAATCCTGCATTTGTAGTCTCCGCAAATCAGCAGCGGCAGGCCGACGCCATCCTTGTTGTGTGTGTGCAAGCAATCAGCCTGCAGTGTCAAAGAAGATGAAAGTCATCCTGCCACGATGACTTCACACACGCTCCATAGCAGTCCCGCTTCCACCTTGAAGCTGGCAGCGCCGCCTCCAGCTGCAGTCCCGCTTCAAGCCCGCATCAGGATACATCCAAGTTCAAGGACCGCCTCGACGCTCCGAGCGCTACTGGACGAAAAGGGCCACGAATTGCCCTCTGACCTGTTCGAAGAGCTATGGCACGCGATGGAAGAGTATGACCGCGCAGAGCCTGGCAGCAAGAAGCTGGACAAGAGCTCTGCTCTAGCATCAGGGTTGAAGGCAGGGCAGGTGGCGAGTTCTGAATACGTGGTACCTGAGGAATCCATACCTGCTGCTGCTCTCATTTCTATTGCTCGGTGGGCCAAGAAACGTGCGATGCTCTCGGGTGAGGTGCTCAGTGTGGAGCATCCATTGCGACTGCACGTACTCCTGAAAGGCGCAAACTTGGCATTGCCGCAGAAAAGGCCCTTCGTTCGAGTGAGTGCTGGATGAATGAGCGCTCTGATTAAGCAACATTGTCTGCTTGGTGCTCCTGCTTCCTTTCTGTACCCTCGAATTTGTGTGCGCAGCGCATACGCTGCGAAAGTTGACTCCGCAAACAACTTTCATCTCCTACTTCCCTTTGTTCTAGTCGCCCGAACTAGAAGCAACGCTGGCGCGCATCAAACAAGCTGCGGAAGAGGCAGAGTACGCACGCATGATCAGCGGTTCAAGCTCCGCCAACGAGGCTACTGGACGAACATTCAGGACAGCATTCAACGTCACGGGCGCACCGAAGCTGAGCAGAGCAGAAGAAGCGATGGAGTGGCAAGAAGTCAAAAGAGGTTTGAGCGCTGTTGTGAATGTCGTCGCTAGCGCTGCGGCTGTCGCTCTCGCTGCTTGGGAAGCTCTCGGCAACGGAAGCGTCTTCGCGGTGAGTTCCAAGAACAGCGCTTCGTGTGCCTCCGCACAAACTTGTGCTGTCGCTCAAACGAGCGTGCAATTCCACCACAGAAAACGATGACATCGCTCTTGCTGGCTATCATCGTGGCAGTGGCAGAGACGGTGCTCTACGCTCGGCACTTTGAAAACATCAAGCAAAAGCGCGCAGCAGAAACGTTGAATCGTGCTTTACCTTCACAGTCTGCCAGGAGGGATGCGGACAGGACTGGACGGGGAGTCGATAGGCGGATGCTGGCGACTTTGGAGACGCAAAACCGCGCAAGCAGCTCGAAAGCTGAAAGGTAAAGCGTCAATTGAAACGTCGTTGTTCGTATCTGAGCAACGCGAAGCATAGCTTCACGTTGCCTCTGCGAGGCCCATCGAGATGCTTCTACATTGTAAAGCCAATGCATGAACCATCTACACAAGAATGGACTTCGATTACGTTTGAGCGGGGGACTGCATCTAGGCGTACCAGGTGATGGGTGGTGCTGGGTCCGATGGGAAGTGTTGGCGGTGAGAGCTGCGATGATGGGGAAGGAGGAACAGACGGGGAAAGTGTGTGTAGGAAGAGGTTGCAGCGTTTGTCGCGCTCCCAGACACTACGACACAGGAGAGAAGTTTGGAACAGCGAGCAAACCGCTGGATGAAAGTGAGGCTGCTGGGCCACTACAGCACCGTCGGGGCGGTCAAGAAGATCCTAGGTCTCATTGAGCCGACGGTCTTGCGAAGGATTTTAGATGACCACGCGGCGAGGGAGCAGCTCCTCGTCTTGGCCGATCGGTCTGTGGCTCGTGAGGCCCCTCTTGCTGCCGGCCTTCTTGCACGTGTGCGTGGTGTACTGGAGTCGTGAGCGTGATAGGATGTGAGTCGAGGTGCCGTGCGAAAGGACGAGGCATGGAGAGCAAATGCGCAACTCACATCAACATTGTCGATGAGGATAGCCTTGGTCAGTTGCTTGGGCACCAGAAACTTGACGGTGTCGATGTTGCAAAAGTCCGGACTAGCAAAGGTGGCGAGCGTCATGGGAGAGCGAATCAACATCTTGGGCTTGTAGGTCAACTTTTTCTCCGACACCTTTTTGCCGTCCTTGAAAGCTTGCACGGTGAATTCGCACGGAGTGGCGTAAGCAGTGAATTCAGTTCCGAGGTTTTCAACACAGCTAAAGTAGAAGGAGTGAAGGTTGAAGCCACCGACGGCTGGAGAGCCGGAGTAGATGGTGCTGAATTGGGGAATCTGAGGGCTCAGCAAAGTGATCTCGAAACCAGTGCCGACAGCGTTGGGATAAGACTCCAGGACCAGAGGGGCGAGAGATGTGGAAGTGGCCGTAGTCGTGTTGGCATTGAATCCAGCAAAGCCCTGCCAGGCAAGCTCTTCGTACGTGCCGATGGTGTTGGCGACGTATTGACCAGGGAGCCAATCACGGTCATCGAACTGTGCAGATGGTGGAAAGCAGAAACGGAAGGGTGTGAGCTCGAGCAGCCAATCAGAGTGACTTGACGGGCCGGGACAGCGCTGGAGAGCGGACAAGGAACACTCACGTTGGCATTGTAGCGAGTAGAAGCGCACACTTTAGGTCCAAAGGGCTTGATGCCGGGACGAGCGTTGGTCGCCTCGGTGCACACGATGGCAGTCGAGACAAAGATGAAGCCCACAAGAACGAGACCAGCTGGAGAAGCGAGCATGATGATGGTGGCAAGCAGGTGGGCCAGGTTGAAATGGACCGAGCTTCAGCAGCTTAGGCTTGAGGTTGAGTGAAGAAGCGACGACGATGACGTCTTGAGAGATGAGCGTTGTCGACGTGAGAGCAGGCTCGGAGCAAGGCGGAAGGGCAGGAAGTGGTTGAGAGAGAGAGAGAGTGGATGAGAAGGAGGTCGAGAGAGTGTGATTGTGATGGTCGAAGCGAAAAGACGTCGTGGATGAAAAGTGAGAAGGACTTGCTTATGTACCTTTTTGGTATGCGGAGCTCTGAGTGGTCACTCTAACAGAGCCAAAGGGTGGAGAGCCAACACTGAAGCCGTGCGAGTTCCTGCCATGCAACAAACACCCTTCTCGAGCGAACGCAACCTGAGCTGTCATCGTTGGCGCATCCAACAGCAGCCTCGTGCTGCCATCAGGAATGCTGATGACGAGCAGCCTTGGAGAGGTGCGACTTGCGAGGGTGTGTGCCGATGGAGTGCCATGGGTGGATGCTGATCGAAGGCTTGGCAGCCGCCAGCTTTGCTGCTCAACGGTCGTTGGATTGTTCCACATGTGAGCCGAGCGAGCGATGCATACATGGCCCCTGATTCGCTCGTGACGTGACTGCTCCGATCAAGGCATCAAGCTGTAACGGTATACGGCGATTTGATTGCGTGGACCATGATTTTCAGCAAAGCTGATCCATACAGCACATATCTCACCTGCTGTGCATGCTGCTCATCTGCTCAAGTGCGGCGAAGGGCGCACACGGAACCGCGGCCGCGGCCGGGAAAGCAATCACAATGTGAATCAAGCCGTGCTATAGCTGATGCCATGGCGAATCGTGAATGTTTCGGTGTTCTCGCGGCTGACGGGACCGTTGAGCCCCTTGCGAGGATGTGCGGGTGCGGGTGCGGGTGCGGGTGCGGGTGCATGCAGCTAGCTATAGGTAGAACATGAGTTGCACAGACTTGCTTTGTATTCCAGATTCACATTTGCGCTCCCTCATCGCGGCGCCCAAGCCACCCACGCA